TTTTTATTATAATAATAATCTGACTGCTCCAATTGGGAAACAAGACTTTTTAAAGTATAAGTAATCTCCATTTATATATATGTTATATTAGGATATTTCCCCTAATCCTCTGTTTTTAAAGCCTTATTATATGTTGGATACTACAGAAGAAAACATATATCTTAACTTATATACGATAATTCGTATATTATAACTGGCTTTTTGTTATATTATGAATATACTTAATTAAAATTAGGCATTCCGGAGGATCATTATTATTACCCTAACCTCTCGACCAAAAATTGGTTTATGCTCTAAAAGGAAATAGTTGTTACAATACTTGGAGTGTAACAGAGAGACAAAAAATAAAACCACATGAAACGCCGTTTCAACATCACCACAAAACTGGCAATAAGCCTCTTCCACCACCCCATCATCTTAACACCTCCTTGGAGGCTTAATCTCCAAAGATGAATCTATACGCTAAATTTCCCTTTTTCTAGCCAGTACCCAAAACTACTGAAATCCTTCCAAATGACCCTCTAATCAATGTTTGGATACACGCTACCCCTTGCAATAATTCCCTGTCCACCCACAACCTGCACTAAACCTTTTCCCCTTTGAAGTTGTCCACGGCTGTTGCCCTGTCAATAAAAACCTCAACTTTTCTTCACACACCTGCAGACCTTCCACCCCACCATCAACTGCCTCCTCCATGACCCTTCCTACTTTTTGCTCCCTTAACAAACCCCCCTTTCCCTTTAAAATACCTCTGCTTGATATATATAGCCATTACTCTCAGCCTAAAGGCAACAAACCAAAACCCCCTTTTTGAACATCTGTCAAAACTACCTCATTTTTAACCATCCCCCCCAAAAAACCCCCCACACAAACTTTTACACCCCCTCGAAATTCCCCAAAATGCCCTGTGCCTCTAGGGGAAAAACCTCTGCCACCCCCCCCCATCCCGCTATGAAAGTGATTTAAAACCACCATTACCTCGTTGTAAAGCGGGCCCCTCGCACTTAAAACCTCCGAGTCACCTAAAACCTTACCCTACAGCCTCAAAATTTACCCTCCGCAGGACTGCATCCCCATAAACCATTTTTCCACATACCCGATTTTATCACCACATCCATTTCCTGACCCCACCCCCAAGCCCCCCACCTATCCAGTTACATCCCCCTTTGTAACCTTGATTTTCACCATATTAACTCGCATTATACCATATTATACCAAACATCTGAATCTTCTACCCCCTCCTTAACGCCTCCTTACCCCAGAGCAAAACAGTATATCATCCACTACCCCCCACATCCCCCCCATTTTCACCCCCCTCCCTTTCCCGTTTTCCATCCCCCCCCCTAGCCCGGGGGGCGGGGGGGCCCCCAAATACATAAGGAACCCCGCCCAAACCCCTACGTAACTTTACCCCCACCCTTTTTTTGTCCCCCAAACGCCTCCCAGGGGTTTCCCCTTCCCCCAAACCCCTTTACCCCCAAAACCCCCTGTGGTCCCTTAGAAACATCCCCCAACAACGCTCCCAACAACCGTATTCCCCCCAATTTTTCCCCCTGTTTTCATGGGATTTCCCCATTTCCCCCCGGGGGAAACCAAATCCCCCCCTTTTTCAGAAACCCAACAATTTTTCCCCATTCGTTTCCCCAAAAAAATTAGGCCCAAAAAATTTTAAACTGACCCCTAAAAAAATCTCTCTAATTTCCCCAAAAACCCCCATTCCTTTTTTTTGG